CGTACTATTTGAAAAACAGGTTGGCTACATGTTATATTTGACTATGGTGGTCACATGCGATGACCTGAAAAAGTAACCGAATCAATACTTAAAAATAAAAAAAACTTTGAACATTTTCACAACATTTTTGAAATCGGAGATAGTAGAATAATCTCTCTGTATGTTTTGTATTGTTTTGATAATGGTACTTGGTGCTGTTTCAGTAGTAGCCTAGTGTAAACGCTCATGGTAGAGGAAACTAGAATTAAGATGCGTCTCTCCTGTCAGTGAGAAAGCAGTTAAACTATGTGTGCGCTGTTAACTTTGTCTGTAATAAAGCTGTGCTCAGAGTCAGTTTAGGTGGAGTTGGTTTGCATCCCTTCAGGCTAATCACTTACAGAAAAGGCAGTAGCAATAATAACAAGGCCTATAGGATATCCGAACAAAATTCCCCATCACTAGTGCCCACCCATTGAAAATAAATGCCCCCCTGCTGAGCTCAGTCTGACGCCGGCCCCAACACCCCCATATCAAAAAAATGGTATCATTCTTGTTTCATAACGCGTTTGACTCCCATCGTTTCGATGGTGAGATTGGCAGTCAAATCGGGGTCAGCCCTGCTGTATTCATAACTTATTTGATCAGCTCCCAGTCTGTCAGGTTTCCTCACTACAGTGGGCTTTGGAGCTCCTGGAGCAGAGAGGCTGACTTACAGCACGACCTGTTAATATCATTAAGTAGCCTACAGCTTAGGTTACATTCATCTGAAATATAAAGACAATGAAAAACTTTGCTAATTTATGACAATCACACAGGGATAAGAATCATAGTCAGATAGCTAACATCGTTAGCTAACATCGTTTCACCTACTTATTGAACGGGCAAGGCATTTCCTCTTCCATGTACATTTACTCATTTGGTGGTCAGTTTTATAAAACTTAAAAGAAAGTTTTCATGACAGAGATTTAATCCCCAGACCTGCTGCATGAAGACCAATGACACTGCCACTGAGTGGGAATCGAACCCAGGTCTCCCACATCAAAGGCATGATGCGTATCCACTGTCCTATGGACACCTTGAAAAGATACACATAGCCTCACATTAAAGGTTTAGTGTGCAAGTTTTAGTGACATCTAGTGGTGAGGGTTGCGAATTTCAACAAATGGCTTACTTCGCAATAAGGTCCGGCTACGGACTGTAGCACCGCTCACAACACGCCCCTTGCTCACAACACGCCCCTCGCTCACAACACGCCCCTTGCTCACAACACGCCCCTCGCTCACAACACGCCCCTCGCTCACAACACGCCCCTCGCTCACAACACGCCCCTCGCCCCCGCTACAGTCCGCAGCCGGACCCTTGTCTTACTTCTTTCTCTCTGTGATTATGCCCATCTTCTAGCTGTTGCTATCAGACTAACTTGTCCAGCAGAAGACAGGCAACTTCTGCGCCACTTTGAAAACATTTATCCCGCATCAGCACTTTTCATTCTGGGAAAATCCACACCACTGAAAACATAGTTATGGATATTATTTTGCATTTCTGCCAATACATCCTTAAAAATATTACACACTGGACCTTTACGACTCTACAGAAAGTGGTCACACTGAAGGTTCTCTCAAACTGAGCTAACCAGCGTGTAACACTCAGGCGAACATTACTCTCAGACAGTGGTTGATCTTATTTTAAGAGGCTCACTCTGAAGGTAGTTCAGAGGCAGGACCTTATCTTTTACAGGGGAGCACACACACAAAGCTCTTGGTCCTTAACAAGCACGAGAATACCTTGGCGAGTTAGTTCCTCACACCTGATCACACTTTCATACAATGCTACATTAAAAGAGTCTTTTAAAAAGGACGTCAGTTATTAGAGTTTTTCTAGCGTGTAAAAGAGGCAAGGCAGCTTTTCCTCCACTGGGCAGGCAAGAGACTGGACCACCACTTCAGGGAGGATTTGTGCCCCGTGATTAGTGACAAAGGGACACACCCAACACTCAGGAAGGAAGGTCCAGTCCTGAAGGAAGCCTACACTGGCAAGCAACCGCTCGTCCACACGGGGAGGGAAAGTCCCCACACTGGTCCCCATACTGTCCTTCCTCTGAGCCCACCCACTCCTGTCAAATAACACATTATTGTTTTATAATAATAGTTTTTATTTATAGAACACTTCTGAAAATCCATGTTACAAAGTGCTTCACATTACACATTCAAAAACCATCAGATAAAAAAAACACGAATTCAAAGTTAGAAGGTAAATTAAAGTCAAATGTAATCAGGAAAAGTTTATTGATAAAAGTATGTTTTAAGAATGGACTTAAAGGAGTTCAATGCGTCTGCTGACCTTTTAATTCCTTCTAATCCCTCTTTCTGACTGCATGATTTTGTTTAACAGGAGTATCTGAAAGAAGAAGGAATTCTGAGTTCAGAAGCTGTGAGGATGATTGGAGACCTGCTTGACGAACAGAGCCTTATGCACACAGCGCTGACTGAGACGATCTATCTTCAGAATGAAATCAATGACACCATGACGTGAGGCCCTACATCCTACATTATCAAATAATAAAAAGGCACATTGTTTGCACAGTACAACAAAATTATAACGCAGCACTTTTGCACTTCTCTTTTGCCCCCATTCATCATGAGCTGAACTCAAAGATCTAAGACTTTCTCTATGTACACAAAAGGCCTATTTCTCTCAAATATTGTTCACAAATCTGTCAATCTGTGTTAGTGAGCACTTCTCCTTTGCAGAGATAATCCATTCACCTCACAGGTGTGGCATATCAAGATGCTGATCAGACAGCATGGGTAACAGGTGTGCCTTAGGCTGGCCACAAACAAGGCAACCATGTAGATACATTTGTGCTCAATTCAATGACACTAAAAATGTGTGTTTTTGTTTTTAAGGTACTATGAAGTGACTGGTGGATCAGACCTTCTCCCTCAAGCTTTTCTCAAAGTCCTTGATGTCCCCATCCTCCTCAACTCCCCAGTTAAGAGCATCAGCCAGTTAGATAATGGTGTAATTGTATGGTACCAGACCTCAGATCCTAGCCAACAGCCCTCTTTTACTCACCTTCCAGCTGACATTGTCCTGGTAACAACCACAGCGAAAGCAGCCCTCTTCATGGACTTCCATCCACCTCTATCCATCCAAAAGATGGAGGCCCTAAGGGGGGTCCACTATGTGAGCTCTACTAAAATCATCCTCACCTTCAGCGAGAAATTCTGGGAGAAGAACGGCCTCGGAGGAAAGAGCATCACTGACGGTCCCTCTCGTTTCATCTACTACCCAAGCCACAATTTCCCAAACAATAAGAGCATCGGCGTCCTCCTGGCTTCCTACACCTGGGCTGATGACTCCCTCCTCTTCCAGGGAGCGAGCGATGAAGCCCTGAAAGAGCTGGTTCTGAGAGATTTGTCAAAGATCCACGGCGACGATGTTAGGTCTCTTTGCACAGGGGTGGTGGTAAAGAAGTGGACCTTGGATCCTTACAGTTTGGGGGCCTTCGCTCTCTTCACGCCCTACCAACATTTAGAGTACGCTGAGGAGCTCTTCAGAAGTGAAGGCCGGGTGCACTTTGCTGGTGAACACACAGCCTTCCCTCACGCTTGGATGGAGACATCTATGAAATCTGCAATCAGGGCTGCTATCAACATTAACAATGTGGCGCTCAAAGACTCAGCTAAATTTCCAAGAGGAGATGAGCTCTAGAGTCTGAAGAATTGATTTAGTATTATGGTATAAAATAAAAAGAATACCAAAAGCTGTAATATCTCTAGTTAATGCCACAGAAATCTGATATGTTAAATACCACTTTAATTGACTTAAGTGTACACAAAGAGAAAAAAAATACTTCAAAAGTAGATTGAAAAGAAATTATTCCTATACTTTACATTGACTAAACACTTTTTCCCCCTCTGCCCGACCGTGAGCTGTACTTGCAGGGTTGCAAGAAATTGGAGCCTATCCCAGTGCAGATTGCCACTATATAAGAGCACTGACAACCATTTATGTTAATATTCACACATACAGACAATTTACAGTCAGCGTTTAACCTAACCTGTACGTCTTTAGACAGTGGGAGGGAGAACACCAGAGCAAGAAAGGACCCAACCAGCCAATGGATTTGAATTCAAAGTGGCAGCTGATTCATTTTTATTTCTTTTCTTGCCTTGGTTTTCCACCCCAACATTTCTGTATTATACATAATAATTCAATGGTTGTGGCTGTGATCTTTGACTCTACCTAACCTCACAGAAATAAAACTACAACCATGACTAATGGCTGACACGAGCAAATTAAAGTTAGAGTTCTTGAAGAGACAGTCTAATGATAAACAGTTTAGATTATACATAACTGTCTGGAATATGGTGTGTCTTGGGTTGCTGGGTCTTTCTTGAAGGGCGTGGTTGTTGTGTGTTTATTTTTTTGTGTGTTTTACTGTAACAAATGAAGCTTGTAATCTCTACTCAACTCAACTCTGTATTGCAGTTTTGGGTCCAACTACTTTTAATCTCATGTTTGATCGGTGACGGCAGTAATACAAGTTTTTCCTGAATGGATGATATTAAAGGATTAAAAATCTTTCGCTTGAAAATTAGGAGTCTTGTCCCATCATTATGCTCTCTGAAATGTGGCTTAACGGTAACATCTCAGATAATAATTACAAATGACAAATTACTCACAAATTACACTGCATAAAAAGTGGGATTTTTGGTCAGCACTGAAAACTGTCAGGAACAGTCGGGAATTGATGTGGGCTTTGTCTGTTAGTGTTGCCCCCGCGACCCACCTCTTCCCTACATCTAGGGGAGGCTTTCACATGTACAGTATCTCACAAAAGTGAGTACACCCTGATCACTGAAGAAATGACACTTTGCTACAATGTAAAGTAGTGAAAGTACAGCTTGTATAACAGTGTAAATTTGCTGTCCCCTCAAAATAACACATCACACAGCCATTAATGTCTAAACCGCTGGCAACAAAAGTGAAGACACCTCTAAGTGAAAATGTCCAAATTGGGCCCAATTAGCCATTTACCCCCCCTGGTGTCATGTGACTCAGTGTTACAGCTCTCAGTAGTGAATGGGGAGATGGTGTGTTGAATTTGGTGTTATTGCTCTCACACTCCCTCATACTGGTCACTGGAAGTTCAACATGGCACCTCATGTCAAAGAACTCTGAGGATCTGAAAAGAACCAAAGAACGGTTACTCTACATTAAGATGGGCTAGGCTGTAAGAAGATTGCCAAGACCCTGAAATTGCGCTGCAGCACGGTGGCCAAGATCAGCGGTTCAACAGAACAGGCCTCGCAATGGTCGACTAAAGAAGTTGGGGGGGTCAACCTGTCAGTGCTCAAACCATACGCCGCACACTGCATCAAACTGGTCTGCATGGAAGGAAGCCTCGTCTAAAGATGCTGCACAAGAAAACCTGCAGACAGTTTGCTGAAGACAAGCAGACTAAGGACATGGATTACTGGAACCACATCCTGTGGTCTGATGAGACCAAGATAAACTTATTTGGTTCAGATGGAGTCAAGCGTGTGTGGCGGCAACCAGGTGAGGAGTGCAAAGACAAGTGTGTCCTGCCTACAGTCCAGCATGGTGGTGGGAGAGTCCTGGTCTGGGGCTGCATGAGTGCTGCCTGCACTGGGGAGCTACAGTTCATTGAGGGAACCATGAATGCCAACATGTACTGTGACATACTGAAGCAGAGCAGGATCCCCCTGCCTTTGGAGACTGGGCCGCAGGGCAGTATTCCAACATGATAACCACCCCAAACACACTACAAAATGACCACTGCCTTGCTAAAGAAGCTGGGGGGCCAAGCATGTCTCCAGACCTAAACCCTATTGTGCATCTGTGGGGTGTCCTCAAACAGAAGGTGGAGGAGCACAAGGTTTCTAACATCCACCAGCTCTGTGATGTTGTCATGGAGGAGTGGAAGTGGACTCCAGTGGCAACTAGTGAAGCTCTGGTGAACTCCATGTTGAAGAGGTTTAAGGCAGTGCTGGAAAATAATGGTGGCCACACAAAATATTGACACTTTGTGTTAGGAGGGGCTGAAAAGGACTCAGGAGCGGTCACTAGGCAGAGGCAGTCACAGCAGGTTTATTTTAAAGAAGCAAGAAGTGGACTGGGGTGTGGAAAGGGGCCAGACAGGTGAGGGCTCGGAGGCAGGCTTCAGCTTCATGGCCTCCATGCTCCAGCAAAGAGGAGAGAGGGAGCCAGAAATAACAGATCTAATTATTAACTGCAGCTTACAGCAGATACAAACCAAACTACTGCAGGAAGCACATCAGCTTCTGTACGTTACAGTAAGGGAGGAAACATCAACGCTGACATGAGCTGAGGTGTAAAGGTCAAAGACATGTGAGCTAACAGACACATTAGAAAGTTCAATAACAAATCAAAGCTGCTCGTTCAGCCACTAAACGTCAGTGATTTCCTGTCAGAGCACAGCAGCATCCAGAGAGAGTAAAACAATGAAGGAAAGAGCAGAAGATGGAGGAACAGCAGCACTCTGTTCTCTTTATTCTTCATATTTATTGGTCTGTCTGCTTAATGAGCAGCAGGTGGCGCTCAAACACAGTCTGACTCTTCAACAAAACCTCTGGAAGCTGTTAGACTCTGAAGGACTGAGAGTGAAAGTCTGGAGGTTTCTTTTGACCCCAAACAGACTCAGAGGCCAAAGAGTGGGCTTTTGTTTTCCACAAGTGATGCAGTTCATTAGAAAACATGATATTTAATAAGGAATGTGAGAGTGAGAAGAAGATAAAGAGGTTTTCCACCTTTGTAAATCAGCTTCCACCGCTTGTTTTGGTGCTGCTGCACAGACATCAGAATCTGAAGCAGGTTAGAAAGAAAATGTTTATTTCTGCACTCTGAGGATATGTGAATTATTCCAACAGACATTTTATTTTATTACAAGCTATGATCAACTTTCTGCTCAGATATGTTCACATTTACCTGTTTTACTTTGTTTTCTATTAAAAGAGCCTGAACGCACCATCTAGGCTACAACCAGTGGAGTGAGGACAAAATGAAGCTCATAACACATTACAACATAGATAGATATAGATAATATCAGGTAACATTTAAGACATTTAAGGTTAAAAATCTGTTTAAAATCTTCTTTGAAATATTTTCACAGAATTAGCTCTCAACCTTCGCTGTTACGCTCTGGAAGTTCCTGCAGGTCTGTCGTAAATCGAGAAACGGTCATCCAACTTTTCCATTAGTGTCCTCCTGAGTTCTGCTAAGGTCACGGGACAGCCGAGGTTCCTTCGGAAATTTGATCAGTTCACTGGACAGAGTTTATTTTATTTGTTGATTGAACGAGTGGAGAAACATGAAATGCAGATGCTTCATGCTCCAGGGCTCACTGAACGTTGGTCAGGTTGAAAATGATGTGAATAAAATGCTGCAGCCTTTACAGTCACCAGATCTCAACCTGTGGAAGCGACGTGTGAGACAAAGACCAGATGATGGAATCTAAACTCTCGTGTCATTGACTGGCTCTGATCCTGTATGTCCTTTATGTCTGCGTTTTTCTCTCCGCTGTACTCAGGTCTCCCTAAATACACTATATACAAATACATATAGTAAATATTTGATATAGTCAGGTGGAACCCCGTCCCAATGTGCAAAACAGAGTGAAGTATGGTGTGACATACCTTTACATTCCCTTTAACAAAATGCATGAGAAAAAAATTGATTCTTAGATGAATCACAATGCAGACGTGGAAGATTCTGAAGCGATTAACAAATTGATTATCTAAATGTTAATTGATAACGTAATGTTCACGGAAAACAAAAAGCGGAACTCTCAGAAGTGCAGCGCCTGGACAATCTGTGGTGTGCACATAAGAGACCAGTTCCCATTGTATTCAACGCATTGCGCCGCTGCAGAATGAATGACCGCTGCTACTAAATTTTCACACGCTTATTAATATGAATGCGCAGCGGTTTCATTCGCACACTGTGCGAGCACGGTAACAAGTTGCTGCAGTGGGTAACACTCAGCGCTAGGCCTGTTTCTCCTGTGTGTGTAGCGAGCGAGTGGGTAAGCGAATGAGAGAGCAAGCTGCAGAAAGTGACGATGAAAGTTAGCGGGTGAAAATATTTAAGTTAGTAAGTTGTCAACCTAGCAGTAAATGTACATGATCATCAAGGTGCATCAATAATCATTTCATAATGGCATTGCAGCCCTCTGAACCGTAATCAAATCGTGAGGTGCCTAGAGATTCCCACCCCTAATGTGCACCTGTAAAGCTCTGCCATTATGGAACGGAGACAGTCTGAGGTTACGCCAACTAATTTGTGGTGTAAATTGTATATTTCCTTCTGAAGAAATTAAGAAATAAAGACAAAAAGTTGTCTTTGCAATATTTATTAAAAAGTATAACAGAGATTCAGCTGAAGGGCTGAAGGGCAGAGCTCATACACCAGAGGGCTGTTAGAGAGTCTGACCCAGAGAAACAGAGAAGACATTTAATGCCAGTCTAACAGAAAAGCCTTTCTCAGCCTTGAGCCACAGTGGAAACTCCTTTTTCACAGGAAAGCATGACACAAAACAATCTCACAGAAGGTCATTATATCAAAACACTGGTACAAAAATATAACACCACACAAGATGAGCAAAGAACAAAAGGTAATGACATATAGAGGATTATTAAAAAGGTACAAACAGGTCAAATCAATTTGTTTCTATGAGAATTCCACCTTTGGTCATCCGATGGCAGGGTTCATACACATTTTGACCAATAAATTTGCAAACCACATTTTCATGACTGAACAAAAGTTAGTAGGCTACTTGAATAGAGCATCTGTCATCAATGTTTGCTTGGTAACAGAGGAGATAGATGCACTAGTTGCAGCTGGTATCCTGCATAATTAAATCTACATTTCCCTGGCAGTATGCATTTTCCAGGCTTTGGTATTTTCTAGCTAACTTACGACGCAAGTTGGTCGCGACGTAAATGTAAATGCTCCGTACTTGTATAGCGCCTTTCTAGTCTTTTCGACCACTCAAAGCGCTTTTACACTACATCTGCATTCACCAGTCATTCACATTCATACACTGAGCCTAAGTGCTCAAACGGAAACTAACATTCACACTCACTCATACACTGGCGGAATAGCCGCCAGGGGCAATTCGGGGTTCAGTATCTTGCCCAAGGACACTTCGACACGCAACCAGGGGGAGCCAGGGATCGAACCGCCTACCTTCCGATTAACGGCCAACCCGCGTAGACTCAACGCACCCAAGAACATAGGGTATGTGGGGAAGCCTCACCGGAGCCTTCTATATATTTAGAAGTACTCTTTGTAGGCTAATGCCAAATCTATATGTCATAAACTTTGGTATTTGTCAGAGGACAAAAAGCAGGAAAATAAACAGAACACATGAGCAGTGTTACATACGTAACCCGAGACGTTCCCCTTCGAGGGGACTCGAACTGCGTCGGTGACGACACTATGGAAACGAGATACCCACTTAGGCCGCGCTGAACCCCGCCTGCCCCCAGTGTGCAAACCTGAGGCATGACTAACAGGAGAGCGCACGGGTGCCAGGTGCAGAAGGACGGTCCAGACTGTAAAACCGGATGAAAGTGTGAGGGGTGGCCCAGCCAGCCGCGTCACACAAATCCTGGAGTGACACCCATGCGACGAGGGACCTAGAAGCCGCCATGCCTCGAGTTAAGTGCGCCCTTACGGCCATAGGTGAAGGCAAACCGCGCACCTGATAGGCCAGGGAAATAGTCTGAACGATCAAGTTGCTGTTGTGTGTTTAGAAGCGGGGAGCCCAGCCTTGGGGGACCTGAAACACACCAGCAACTGGTCTGCTTTCCTCCACCGGGAAGACCTCAGAGTGTAAATACTAGTCTCCTGTCCTCCGCCTGCAGCACCGTGGACCCTGCCAAACTGGACGGAACCTTAGGGACATAGCCCGGACAAGGGTGCAGGATAGCTCTCACCCTCCCCAAGGCAAACTCCAGGCATCGAGGAGAAACCAAAATTGCCTGGAGATCCCCAACCCTCCTCAGAGACGTGATAGCGAGGAGAAAGGCCATCTTCAGCCACCTTAGCCGACTCCAAGGGTTCGAAGGGGGCCTCAGCCAGCGCTTCAAAAACCACTGCCAGGTCCCCAGGTGGGAACCCTGGAACGAGTCACGGGTCTCATCCTCCGGGCTCCACGGAGGAAGCACACAACCAGTGGAAGCCTCCCCAAGGGCCCATCACTCAGAGGGGCATGAAATGCTGCAATGGCAGCCACATACACTTGAGCGTAGACGGGGAGAGGCCTGCGGAGAAACGGTGCTGGAGGAACTCCAGTATCATAATTACCGAGCAGGTTCTCTACACCAGGTGGCGAACACATTCCACTTCAGTCCACGTCCTTCTTGTGGATGGGGCTCTAGAGCCGAGTAGTGGCTCGACCGCTCCTGCCGTTAGGCCCGCCTACCGGAACTGCGCCCCCTCAGGGGCCAGACCCACAGCTGCCACAGGGCGGGTGAAAGAACCGGCCCTCCGCCTGGGACAGCAGGTCTCTCCTCAGAGGGACCTGCCAGGAGCGATATTAAATCCGAGAACCACACTTGTGCCGGCCAAAACAGGGCTACTAGTAGTAGGCTGACGCCGTCCTGAGAGACCCGCTCCAAAACCCCCGGGAGCAGAGTGACTGGGGGAAAGGCATACAGACTAGCGAGGCTGGGGGCAAGAGGGAGAACCACAGGGGACAGTGCGTAGTCTCTCGAGATGCAAACAAGTCCACATCTATAGGGCCGAACCTTTCACATAATAACTCCACCACCTCAGGGTGGAGTCTCCATTCCCCGGGCCTCAGCCCCTGTCTTGACAGCAGGTCTGCTCCCTGATTCTGGGTCCTAGGGACGTACATCGCTCTGAGGGACAGCAGTCTCTGCTGGGACCACAGGAGGATCTGATGTGCCAGTTTGCATAACGGGCGTTAGCGCAGACCCCCCTGGTGATTCAAACAGGCCACCACTGCCATATTGTCGGTTCTGACAAGGACGTGGCGACCGCGGAGGGTGGGCAGAAAACTCCTCAGAGCTCTGAATACCACCAACATTTCCAGGCAATTTATGTGCCAGGAGAAATGATGCTCCTGCCAGGAGCCTCTCGCAAAGCAGCCGTCCATGACCGCACCCCATCCCATGAGTGAGGCGTCTGTCGAAATAATTGTTCGGCGACAGATCGCTCCCAACACGGGACCTTGGGACAGGAACCAAGATTTCCTCCATACAGACAGGGAACGAAGGCACTTGCTCTTAACCTGTATCACACGGAGCAGATTTCCCCTCGGGGAGAATCTCTCATGCACAGTATTCCAGAAGGTATTATACTGGACTACTCGAAACCTCAGGACCTCTTACACAACTCATTGTGTAAATCAGGGAAGAATGGCAAGGCCCGGCACCACTCACAGGGCATGAGTGTCCCCAGCCGTGATGTAGCGCGGGCATGGGAAACACACTGCCTGAACTGCTCACCAGCCATCTCCTCTGCCAGACTTCCTTCCAGGTAAGAAATTTCCTTTGTGGTTGTAATTCTTTCGTAGTTTCAAACATGCCAGAGTGCCTGCTGAATAGAAAAAGGCTAATGTGTCCTGTGTGTCGGCGTGCTAATGTACGCCTCCGGTTACGCCGTCACACGCTACAGTTCTAGCAACACCAATAGGATTGGAGTAGTTTCATTCATGATTTCAGCCCTGCCATGCCCAGAGGCGTTCCGATAGATACCCACACCGACGCAGTTCGAGTTCCCTCCAAGGGAAACAGGACAGTAAAAGTTACAGTGCAAGTTATCAATAAAAAGAATAATAATTAATTTAATTTAATAGAACTAACTGCAGACCTGCAGTTATCTGGGAGTTTGTTCCAAATATATACGGAGCATAATAACTGAACGCTTGATGTTTAGTTTTGACTCTGGGGACAGAAAGCAGACCTGCCCCAGACCACATGAGAGGTCAGGATGGTTCGTAACGAAGCAGAAGATCGGAAATGTATTTTGGCCCTAAACAGGAAGCCAATGTAAAGACCTCAGAACTGGAGTGATGTGATCCACCTTTTTGATCTTAGTGAGGACTCGAGCAGCAGCGTTCTGAATCAGCTGCAGCTGTCTGATGGATTTCTTAGGGAGCCTGTAAGGACACTGTTACAGTAGTCGAGTCGACTGAAGATAAATGCATGGATAAGCTTTTCCAGGTCCTGCTGAGACATAAGTCCTTTAATCCTTCATATATTCTTCAGGTGATAGTAGGCTGACTTTGTAATTGTCGTAATGTGGCTACTCAAATTCAGGTCTGAGTCCATGACTACACCAAGATTTCTGGCTTGATTTGTGGTTCTTAACATTACAGATTGAAGTCGAGCACTGACTTTCAATCGTTCCTCCCTGGCTCCAAAACCAATAACTTCAGTTTTATCCTTGTTTAATTGAAGAAAATTCTGGCACATCCAATCGTTGACCTGCTCAATACAGTTACTCAGCGCCTGTATGGGTTCATAGTCCCCTGGTGAAATGGTTATGTAAATCTGTGTCATCTGCATAATTAAGGTAACATAGAACGTAAATGCTAAGTTCTAAGTTGTCAATAATCATAACCCATTAATGCAGAACAATGAGTGAATCATTGAAAGTTTGCTGTAGCACGTCAAACGTTCACCAGTACGGTTTCTCTCTAGTGTGAACGCGTCTGTGCTTTACCAAGCCACTTGATGTGGAAAGCATTCCCACACTGGTCACACCAGTATGGTTTCTCTCCAGTGTGAATGCGCCTGTGCTTTGCCAGGTCACCTGTTGTAGCGAAAGCTTTCCCACACTGGTCACAGCTGAACGGTTTCTCTCCAGTGTGAACACGCTGGTGCTTTGCCAGGTCACCTGTTGTAGCGAAAGCTTTCCCACACTGGTCACAGCTGTACGGTTTCTCTCCAGTGTGAACACGCAGGTGCTTTGCCAGGTCACCTGTTCTAGCGAAAGCTTTCCCACACTGATCACAGCTGTACGGTTTCTCTCCAGTGTGAACACGTCTGTGGATTTCTAGGCTTCCTGACTGAGTAAAAGTTTTCCCACACAGGTCACATCTGTATGGTCTCTTTCCAGTGTGAATACGTCTGTGGACTTCTAGGCTACCTGACTGAGTAAAAGTTTTCCCACACTGGTCACATCTGTATGGTCTCTTTCCAGTGTGAATACGTCTGTGGACTTCTAGGCTACCTGACTGAGTAAAAGTTTTCCGACACTGGTCACAGCTGTACAGTTTCTCTCCAGTGTGAACTCTCTGATGAATCTGTAAATGCCCAGATCTTTTGAAGGATTTGTCACAGTGCCGACAGTGGTGACGTTTGAGTTCTTCTCTTCCTCTCCGTTTCTATATTAACAAACAGACATACAGAGAGAAAGACAGTAAGTGAAAAGTCATGATGGAGCGAGCTATCTAGAACCATAAATTATATTCAGAGCATGTCTGTGGAACAAAAACCACAATGTTACGGTTTGACTACTGCATTACCACCTGTGACAACCAGCTGCAGGGGTGTGTCCACAGAGGGGCCTGGGGTGGCACCGACCTCTATCGGAATTTGACTGATCATCACAGATACTGACATTTCTTATAAATTGAGCCACATCACATTAAAGAGTTGCATTATGGGAAATATAAGGTCCCGTCTTAAAGCTTGACCTATACCACAACCTAAGGCTGTTTTCCAAACCGCCTACTGTACTAGTAGTACGTAGTGATTTGACCTAAATGTAGTATGAAGACTGCATACAAAAGCAATGTCCACAGTGTACCAAAAATGCCCGGATGGTGTACGGATTTGAAAAATAACTAGCATTGGACCAGTCTACCTCACGGTCTGCGTTCCATAATGAAAAGCGCTGGAATGATCGTAACCGGTAAAAATGACCTTCCCTGGCAGTCTGGTGGGAATTTCTCTAAGTATCTAGGTGTTTCTTTTTAATGCAGACTATGCAGACCCGTATCTCTGAGCGAGCGAAAGTTTTTTTTCCCTCCGCTGCCGTGTGTGTGGAGACAGACGCGCTGCTGTGGAGGATGAAAACTGAAAAACGTAGAAACCTGGAGAAAATACAGCTAAAAAAACTGACTACACTGGGGCTAGCTTCACACTACAAACGTGGTAGCTAACTGCTGTAAGAATTTAGTTGTAAATTCAGTGTTTAGATATATAGAGCTGGAGACATCTAGCAGCATCGTTAGATGCTGCTTTGATGTCCGTGGGATTTCCCGCGACGCACAGTCCTTGCTGGTTCAAGAGCGAGGTAATTCATTTAAAACTGTTTTTGTTCATTCTTTTTCACATTACTGCAAAAGGTAGATTTATTTTGCACTGAGAGAAAGTACTGAACGTTGCATACGGTCTGATATATGTTTTGGTTTTAGAAGACCTTGTGTCTTTACTGGGCGCCGCCATTTTGGGTGTGTGTGTCCAGCCGCTCTGGTGAAATTGGTGAGGATGTTAATTTTCAAATTAGGATTTTCACTTGGCAGGAGAGGGTGTCGACGTTTTGTGTTATGTCAGAGCACTGAATACTTCTTATAAATACATGTACAAAACAGTAACATTAGTTCTGAAGTCGAGACACTTGCTTGATTTTTTTTTTTTATCTAACAGTGGCGTTAAAAACGTTCTAACGTTATGCTTTGTAAAAATCATCCTCATTGCTGCTGTTATGAATACGTGATCAGTAAAAATGTCGGGAGGGACCTGCTTTGTGTTTTTAAAATAGCTTATATCCATAGACTATATGATACAGCATCCTGGTCTGACAGGCTGCAGTGTTTGCAGTTTGGCTGGTTGTTGACTCCTCGGGTTCCAGTAAGTGGATTAATTTCTAAAACGCGCTGCTGAACAGGGTTCCCGTCACTTTTCAGGATGGGGTGTGACCACCTCGTCAAGGAGGTCTTGGTACGCTTTCAAGCAAACTCTGGTGCAGTTCGCTTGTGGTGTGAAAACAAACAAACCAACCACAGGATTTTATGATAAGCATTATTTCCAAAGCTAAACGGCTAATAAATCCATCGTCTGACTGCAAGACGTGTTCAGCGATTTTATAATTGATCTGTATAAGCCGGTATGTTTATGAAAATCATTTGGTAACGTATACTTGGCAGCGCCGATATTTCCCCTGATTAATAGGTTCAAATTTGTCAAAAAAGGAGTGCCAGTAGTACTCTGTTTACCCTGTCAGTTCTTCAAGTCCATAAAACATTTGTGACAGCGATACCACAGTAGGCCTATGCTGTCGGCCAACGGGCCCCGAATTATTACTGAATGTCCTGTTTTTACGTTATTATTCATAATAGGCCATGTGGTCGATCTGCTGTCTAATGTTACTAATCATGCTTATTATAGGAAGCATTAAAGTGCTGCAGAAACTTCGTCGGTCACTGGAGTTCCCCCCCCCCCCATGTGGGTCCTGATGATGCAGGATGACAATCGCCAAAGCTGTCCAATCAACAAGTTACCTGTACGTCTGTGTAACTTCATGTTTACTTCTCTTGGTTCGTTTGTAAAACTGCAGTGTGAACATGAACCGGACAAGAACTAAAATACAAGAGTGTATAATTTTTCTCACTTGGTCCAAATGAACCGAACTACAGATGTGAAAGCACCCTCAGAATCTGGAAATAGGGAATGTTCAACATTATTGCATAAAAGAATGAAAATTAATTATCAGAATTGTTGCTTGTTAATTATCTGATCAAGCAGATAATTACTTTAATAGTCTATTCAGCTTTATGGAAGATGTGCCTTATTTTGTGTTGAACTTGAATTGTAATAATGGAGTTGTATTCATATTTTTGAGTACTACTATCTGAAAATGGGCTTTTTTAAATTTTAAGTAGAGTAGTAGTAATTTTGTTGAGTGAGTTTCCTTTAGGCACTAGGTGTCCTGTCTTTGTGTTTGTCTTGCAGGATGTGGTTCTGGGAGGTCGTCATCAGCGGCATGAGTCACACCTGGGCCTGAATGGTTGGGAGCTATAAAGCTTTTTCCATGCAAGCTCGTCTTGTCTCCCGTCAGTTTCCACAAATATTTTGAGTATTCTGAACTTACTCTGGTTTAAAGTGCAGGAAGTCAGTAATTCGGGATTTCCTGTGTCATCAATTTTTTCCCCAAGATGTTACAGGCATTTGGGATGCTCAAAAAGTCACAAAACTTTGGCTCAATAGTTCCCTGTACAAAATTTCAACAAAGCAGCCCCGGGTTTTAACTAGTTGTAAACTGGGAAGCAGATCGATCATCGCTAGACTTCTAACTATTCTTCGTGGAACAATATCCTAAAGACATCAGGAAGCCATTTAAAATTTTCAACTGATCAACTTCAAATCTGGGCAGCACAATACTAGGGGTGGGGGGGGGAAATCGATACGGCATAGTATCGTGATATTTGCCATGGCGATACTGTATCGATACATGGACGCCAAGTATCAATATTTTATTATATACATTGCAGAAAGGAGTTTTTACTTTTTGGCACTAGAATAATAAAATCTATTGCTTTTTTAGTCCACTAGAAAACTTAACAGGACCATAATATCGTATCGTGGGGCCTCTGGTGATTCCCACCTCTACACAATACAGGTTAGAGTTTGTTTGAAACTAACAACCAGGTGGCTTGCTGAAAAGTGCTACCGTAGCAAAAACTGATAGATTCTCCCACTACAAATTAATTTTATATTGCACCACTCCACACTCCAAGTGTACTGTAAGAATAGGAGAAGCATATTTTGATACTATAACGTACATTTATGGGCGATATGGACCAAAAGTCATGCATTGTAAATATGGTAAGAAAGTAAATAAAGGAGAGAAGAGTCTAAATTCTTTGTGTTTTAATTAAGTTCTTTGTGTTTTAATATTGCAATATGAAGGGGCGTAGGCATTTGCTAGCTTGTTATACCTACAACTGACAGTGCGCACAACGAGCTAGCTTTATCCTAATTTCAACCACCGTCTCGATGGCGTGCCTAACAGCAAAGTAGCAGATATTTTCCACATCCAGCAGTTAAAGCAAAAACGTCATTCATGCAGAGACGTGTTTGTGTCCTAGGTATTTACCCCATTGATGTGATATGTACTATGAGCCCTTACTAGTATTTATTGCTGCTCTTACTAGTATGTATTGTCAGTTGTAGATCTGTAGTTGATGCTCTGTTGATGCTTGTATGTTTTTCCTCAAATATAAGTCACTTTGGATTAAAGAGTCTGCCAAATTAGAAAATGTAAATGTTTTTGTTAATGTTTGCCCTTTCTGGAATAATCATTATCAGGTATAACATACATTAAATATTCTGACAACAGGCTACAGACTGAGATGGACAGCAGAACTGTCTTGACCTCAAACCCTCCAAAACAAAGGAGCTGGTTTTTAACTTTGCAACTCTGTTAGTCAACAACCAGCCAATAGAAAGGCTGACTCATCCTCAGGACAATAACTGATCACAAACTTACCTTCCAACTTATTTACTTACAACCTTTTACTACAGAGATGTGATGTGTTTTCAATCACAAGCACAAATCAAGCTCCTAACAGAAAGTTATTTGAGTTGAACTTTAGTGGAGCAGTTACAGCAACACTGGAATAATCTGCCAACCTGGGCCCTGGCAGCCAAAAACCAACCAACCCAAAAGCAAAATTATCTGCAAAGAAACTACAAGCATCAACAAGCAGCAGTGAAGTTAACATGAAATCCTCCTCACAGATCAATCAGACGGATCATTGTTTGTTCTGCGCGCTCCGCCATGACAAGTGCTGCATCGCGCATGCGCAACGCGGGAAAATGCCGACAGTCACAGATAAAGTAAAGAGAAACGCTCGTGAGTTTTTCTTTCAGCTTCCTCTCTTCAAGATGAAAACAGGAACCACGGAGACACTTTGGAAATCAAACCACGTCAACACAAACCCTGGAGCGGGTTTTCAGGCTCTGATCTCTAACAACAGAATGAACGGATGATACACGGACCCTCGAGACTCTTCCTCGTGTCTTTAGTCTCGTGATGAAGTCATGAACACTGACCTGAACATCGCGCTATCAGAGCACGAGGCTGCTGTTTGGCTCCTGCGGTCCGGGTTCTGGTTCTCCATCGTCCTGCAGGTCTCCGCTGTGACTGGTGGACCGTGTTGTCCTGGACTGATCTGGATTCTGGTCTCGGAGCTCTTCAGGCTGAGATACAGGAGCGCTGCGGGATCCCGCGGAGTGTTCTCGCGATGTCACGGCGTCTCGCCCCGCCCCTTAGTTACTGTCGCTAAGGCCGTTTAGAAACATGGCTCCTTGATTTCAGGCAGAAGATGAAGTTTAGTTAGTTGGTTTCCTGAAACCAGCTGATCATATTTGATGTGTA